CCGGTGCCTGCCCCCTCCCCTCCCCTCCACTCCCCCTCCTTTCTGCACGCCGGTGGCGGGGTGGGAGCGGGGGTGCCAAGGACTGCAGGCCTGGGGAGGCGGGCGATAGCTGCGCAACACACAGCCGAGAAGGCTCTTGCGTGTTTCTCTTTCACAGCCTTTCCATCCATGAAGGTGAGAAAGGAGCTTCTGCTCTTAGGCGAACTGAGGTGGGCTCCCCTCCTGCCTCTGCCCGCTCCTCTTTCAGAGCGAGGCCCACCTAAACCACTGGCCCTAGGAAACCAACCCTGTCTGCGCCAACAGCCATCCTTTCTGCCATGCTGGTTGTTTCTCCATTCCAGATGGGAGCTCATTTATTTAGTCGTTGTGCGGTCCCCAAGGTCGCGCCCAAAGGCCTTCCTGTGTCAGGACATGAGGGGAGTCTTACAGTCCTCTTTCTTTGCTACCCAAGGGCCAGGTGTCAGGCACCAGGTGAGTCCCAACCAGTCCTGGCCCCCAACCCACTGTTCTTTGATGTTTCCTTTTGCCATTCTGTTTACACCATCGTGATATTTGGCAGTGTGGAAATGTGACCTGGACCGGAAGCTGCTTTTACCTCAGCCATAGCCACCTGCCTAGGTTCCCCAGTCTTTCCCAGGTGAAGGATTCCCTTTCTCAACTCGGAATTCTGGCTATTTTTGCATCCTTTCCTGTACCCCCACATGCTTCTACTCTTGAGCCCTTCTTTTCTCTGCTTGCCGCACGGGACAAAGCAAAATTGATGCGGTCGCTGCTGTCCATTTAAAAACTCACTCAGATGCTTACGTCGTCACGTTTGTCAGAATAATGTGCCTCCAAAGTTATCCACATACTATCCTCTAGAACATGAGAGCCTATGTTACCTGGCAAAGGACAGTTAAGGCTGCAGATGGAATGAAGATTGCTGATCAGGTGCATTTAACATAAAATTATGCTGCGTTTTCCTTGCCAATGTAATTGCAAGGGTTCTGTAGAATCTCTGTGTTGGAGGGAGGCCAAAGGTACAGTGATGCAGCCTTAGAAAAACTGGAGAAGCTGTTGTTGGCTTTGAAGATAGTGGGAAATCCCTGAGCCAAGTAAGCTGGAGGCAAGTAATCCAGAAACCATGGAAGGAAAATAGCTCTGCCAACCTCTTGGTTTTATTGTAGTGAGAGCTTTTCTTTCAGATTGCCAATGTGCAATACTGTAAGGTAGTGAATTTGTATTGTTTTAAGTCACTACATTTGCAACACAATTTGTCTTTCATATTCACAATTCCTGGATCTGTTGATACCACCAAGCCTCAATGATTGATATATGAATTAAAAATTAGTAGTAAACATGTATATACCTTTTCCTGGTCTTTGTTCATAAAATTATACAGCATAGCAGTTGTCTACATACATTTTATGTTGTATAAGTTATTATAGGTAAAGTAGACAAAAGTTAAATTATATGGCATGCTGTTTGTTTATTACATGCAAATACTGTGCTCTTTTGAATATGGGATTTAAACTTCTGTGGATTTTGGTATGTGTGGGGATCTTTTAAATGATCTCATGTGGATACCGTGGGAGGATTTTAATTCATTGCGGCAGTAGTAGACACCACTTATTTTCTTCATCTTTATGAGGTCTATTTCACTGGCATTCTTCACCTTACTTCATTTCTGGGATAATCTAGTTTGGGATAATCTCTCACCATTTTAACCATTTCATCTACCACTCCCTTCTTTCTTTTTATAAAGAAGAGAAATTTTTGTAATTATTCACAAGACTCATATTGGGCTGTTTGTTTGTTTGTTTGTTTTGAGAAAGGGTCTCACTATGTAGTCAAGACTGACCTGGAACTCACTATGTAACTAGGCTGGTCTCTAACTCACAGTGATCCTCTTGCCTCAGCCTCCCGAGTGCTGAGATCACAGGTCTGTGCCACCACGCCCTGCTTGGGCTGTTTCTTTTGTTGTACAACACTGATGTTCCACTAGATGAAAAGGGAATTCTGTATACCTTAACTGTA